TACAACTTACTAATCTCTACTCCTAAAAAAATTTCTACACAAACTCAACGTCAAACTAACATAGATACCTATATTACAAGATGGTTCTTACAAAACTACTTACTTTTTTCATGCATCTCATAATCTTTTTTATTCTTATTTTTATCAAAAAGGTTTTTTTCAATCTCTCTATTTCTAATAGCAATAATAGCAATTATTTAAATTAGATATACATAGAAAATAGAAAATATAGTATTATATCTGATGACTTTTAGAGAAACATGAATACAAATAGAAAAAATTAGTTATAAATAGTATCATCTTGATATTTAAATTGTACTAAAATTATTTTTTCTATACTAACATTATAATAAATAATAATAATAAAAAAAAAAAAAAAATCTTTTTTTGAGACAATCAAATAATTAAAATTTATAAATATATAATTATTTAAATAAGTCTATAAATTTTTAAAAAAACTTTTATTTAAATAATATAGTAATTAGTTAAAATTTTTTAAATTATCTAATACTTTAACAATAAAAAAAAATTATATAATAAAAACTACATCATATATCAAAACTTGCAGTTAATTTTAACAAAATTTTTATTATAATATTTTAACTTTTTGTCAAATTGAAATATAAAAACTTTATAAGTTCTGGCGATCTTATTGTAGTGGTTAAGTTGCCAGACTATTATACAAGAGATCTGAGGTTCAAATCCTACTATCAACAAATTTGAATAATTACCTAGACCTTTGTACCTAACTTACAGTAAACCCTGTTTATTTCTAGGAGTTGTAACTCTGTAAATCATATTGCACTAATATCATTCGGATATTAGAAATATGATGAAGTGCATAACATTATATGAATAAATCTTGATAAGATCTACAAGCAGGGGACCTGCATAGTAGAAATTCTGAGTTGGTGAAGTAGTATAGCTTTTGACAGTCATATCAGTTAACACTTAATTCAGAAAGGAAACTATTGTTAAAAAATGCAGATCGAGTTAGATGTATATAAATCTGTTTTACAGGGAGGATCAGTAACACTAACTTGGCTTAGTAGCTAACTAGATTGGGAGGATCTGCCTCGTAAAATATCTGAGAAGATAGATACAAAAAACTGGTAGAGAGTTATAGTAGGAACTGGAATTGTATAAACATCTACAAGGGTCTAAGCTAGGTAAGTTCATGAAATAAACACAGGCTATTCTAGTAGGTTTGCTTCAAGGTTAACTGAAGCTCTGCAAAACTTACAATATGTTAAATACAAGCATCCTAAGAGGACCTAAACTGAAGTTGATAAATAAATCTGCAATGAACTAGCTAGCTTAAGCAGTAAATATTATAGTGACATTAGTTTGTAATGATATGAGTTAGTTAAACAGAGTATTTAAATAGGTAACTCACAAGTAGGTTACAGGCAGAGTTGGCACATTTATCTATTGGGCTCAATAGAGTAGACCTCCATTGACATTGGTCTATTGCTCTATTGAGAATAATTTGTCAATAGAGCCAATGGAGTCCAACAGGATACTATATATATTATAAATTATATAATAAGATAAGAGTATTATGGTGCACATAAGTTTTACAGCCAATAATTTGTGATCCAATAATCAGAATAAGATAATTTTTATATCATTAGATTCGTCTCATCGAGACGAATTGAATGGTATAAAAATCATCTGATTCTGATCACTGGATCATGAGATATCTTCATTTAAATAAAGAACCTAGTTTTATAATTATTTTCTTGCAAGAAGTCATCGTAACATGCTAAATTTGACTTTTTTTACTAAGTAAATCGAACTTAGTGTATTAAGTAAAGTTGTTCACAACACAAAGTTCTACATAATATAAAATTTTAGTAAATTTTGGATAATTTTTTATTAATGCACTTTCGTTTTATACGATTTTGTACTATAATTAGATCACTGGCGTAGAAACGTATAAAAAGAAAGTGCATTAATAAAAAGTTATTCAAAACTGATTAAAATTTGATATTATATAGAAGTTTGCATTTAGAACAACTTTACTTAATGCACTAAGATCGATTTACTTAGTAAAAAAGGTCAATTTTAGCATGTTACAATGAAAACTAATTATAAACTTAGGTTCTTTATTTAAATGAAGGTATCTTGTGATACAGTAATCAGAATTAGATGATTTTTATACTATTCGATTCGTCTCAATGAGACGAATCTAATGGTATATAAATCATCCGATTCTAATCACTGTATCACAAGATATCGCAATTACATCATAATAAATACTGCACTATATTTACTTTATATATATATTAATAATATAAATATGATTGGTTAGTTTAATAGAGTCAATGGAGCCAATGGAGCCAATGGATACTATTCTATTCACTCCATTGGCTCCATTGATAATTTTCTTAATGGACCTTATTCATTGCCAACTCTGATTACAGGTATGGCAGCATAGTGTAGTACTAACAGGTAGTCTAACGCCTATATAGCAGACTACTTAAATTAGACAATGACTAAAGTTGTATGTGTGATTTGTTGTATACTCTTCATATAATTACAAACTATAGAAGAACCCCATATGGAACCTCATATATCAAACTAATAAAATTCGCTCGGTCATATAAGCCATCTTAAAAATAAAATAAAATAAAATAAAATAAAAAAAAAAAAAAAAAAAAAAAAAAAATATATATATATATATATATATATATAAAAACTTTATAATCAATAATAATCACTATATTATTATACTAAATAAAACAACAAAATTTTTACTATTTTAAAAGAATTACTAAAACTTCTGTTTTCTTATAATTTTATTATTATTACTTTTTATAATTTAGTAATTAGCTATTTTTTTTAAACACTTGCAACTACTATTTGAAATTAAATTATATGTTTAAAAATTACAGCTCTAGACTTAAAAAATAGCAAAAATAATATTTTTGTAGAAAAAAAAAAATCATTACTTAGAGTTAAAATAAGAATTATTTGTGTATTTTTTGTAAAGTTCAAAAGCTAAGTATTTCTCAAGTTAACCAAAAAAGAATTCTGTAAATTGAACTTGGTTTAGAACCTACAAAAAATATTACAGATTTTGTTAAAAGATTTAGTCAACAAAAATTAAAAAAAAATCTTAAAAAAGATATATAAGAAAGTCTGAAATAAGCTTCGCTAATGATTAGTAATCATTACTTTTTTAATATATTCAGCGGAGTTTAGCGGAGTTTGCCCACTATTCTATAGAACATCCAAAAAAAGGAAAAAGGTAATGTCGGAATTATGCCTTGTCGAGAAAATGGGCTGTAGAAATAGTTTGTTGGGGATGATGCCTGACGAAATTATTTTGGCAATGACGAAATGGTTTCGTCAATGGTTTCGTCAGACGAAATTTTGACGAGTGACGAAATTACTGACGAATTTAATTTGACTAATAAAATATAAAAATACAGTTGACCCTCAAGTCGATAAGCTTCATTATGACGACATCTGAATCTTAAATTTTTTTCAAAATCACTTATTTCATCATTTTAAAGGTTCATCGATACAGTAATTATTTAATTGACAACGAACTTTTTTTCTACTATTACACTACAAATTAATAAACTCAAGAAAATTAATTTTTAGCTTAAAATTACATTAAGTCTGAAGCCGGTAATTTCATCAAAAAAAAATATAAACCTAGAAACCTAGATACGATAATGAATAAAAAATTAACTTCACATGCACTAATTTATTTCCTTATGAAATCGCATTTTTTAATTAATTTTTCTTAACATTATATTTATTACGCCCAAATGTTTTATCATATAAAATTTATTTCGTCACGAGTTTCGTAATCTGTCATGAGTTCATCTGATATTAAAGAAATTTGCAAAGAAGGATTTGACTCTGTGTATTCGGCAACCATATTAGATGGCGCGTTCAAAAAATTGATAGTTGCGAATACAATTATATTAAGAGTACATCGTTGCACTCAAGACCTTGCCCAGTTCTAAGGAAAACAATTCGAATGTTTTGAAAAAAGTGTGTTAATTTGTCACTTGTAGAATAATCATTATTATTAAGCTAATTCATTCTAAATTTTATAAAGATCATATGATATTTAAAGCTTAAAATATATGGAATAACCCAAGATAAGGATTGTCTAAAGAGGCGATATTTATGGTGTATGTATATCAACTGCCAAGGACGGATTATCCACTTCACTGCCTTAAATTAAATTACTAAAAAAAATTTTTATTTTAATTTTACAAAACTATAAAAAAATCAAGTTTTAGATTAATTTTTTTTTAATTCTAATTGGTGAATATTCGAAAGCCGGAAAAAGGAACTTTAGCTCGAAATTTTCTTGACCCTTTTTGTAAGGCCTAAACCCGACTTATATTTTAACGTTAATGGGTTAACTCTAACCCAAGCCTAACCCAAATAATAATGGATTCAAAACAAATTAGGCCCAAGCCAGGCTCAGCCCACAAGTTTTCGGGTTTAACCCGACCCATTCCGGACCCTGCTTGCTTATTTAAATTTTAAAAATAATATCGATATAGAAATAAACTACTGTAATCATCAAAAAAACAAATAGAATGTCAATCATATAAAAACATGAGAAACAGTTTTGTTAAAGTATAGCGTGAAAATTTATTCAATTTCTCACGGAAGATTGATAGGCGCCATATTAAGCTTTACTATTTAAAGATATGCTTTTTCTATGTAGTTAAATTTGACAGCAAATTACAACACATGAAGTATTGTAATTTTATTATAAAGTCAATAAAATAGCTTTTTTTCATATGAATTTGTTTTTAAGAATAATTTTAGGCGCTTTCATAATTGAAATTCATGATGTTTTTATGCAAATCGTTTCCTTCGTAATACTGTGATAAAAGATGTTTTTTTTAATTCTGTAACACTATATTTAAAGCATGCAAAAAGTATCACATACATTGTTGTATTTTATTAAATCGATTATTCTTAAAAACAACTTTAATGCAAGAATTATTTATACGTAATATTTATAATACTCGACTAAATTCTTCTCCGATTCCTTTTTTAGTATATATTTCCCGTTTACGAACTTTAAGATCACGGCTTTTAATTTTAATTTTAAATTTACTATTAACTCTCCATCCATAAGCATAACCTTTACCACCTCTCGGCCAACCCGGGCAAATTCCGCCATGTGTTTTATTTTTCCTTGCAATATCTTTTTAAATAATTAGTTTTAAAATTAATAAACAAACAAAATATCCAAATATATTTACAATAGAACAAAAAAAATATACTTCAACTTGCCTTTTTTCATAGCATTTCTCCTTTTCTTACTTAACCTGTTCGTTCTTTTTATAGATGACTTTTTTGGATCTTCAGATGGCACATGTAACACTTTATGTTGTACAAAATTACGCTCCCATGGAATTTTCGATTGCATAATCACTTCCGACGAAGTTATCGCCGTATCGATAATTTGTTCTAATCTCTTCACTTCATCCCTCAAATTAAGAAATTTTGGTTCTTAATTTAAATTAAAAATAATATGAAGTGTGATAATTTTTAAGGATCATTGTTTAAAATACCTTTGAATTTTAGCATTCGCTTTAAGGATCTCAACTTGTTTGTTATAATCTTTAATGTCATTAAATTCTAGAGAAATCTTTGTCGGTGGATCACGTGCAAATAGACGAAACACTATTTTTGTATCAAACAAAATATTAGAACAATTATATATATAAATAAATAAAATAATATGTAAGTAGTTAGAAAATCTTTACATATGTCCTGCTGATTTTCTTGCATATATTGATTATCATCATCTTTTCTATGGTTAATGTCTAGATTTCTGTCAATAAACGATAAATATTTCACATTGGCATGGATCACAGATTGTCATTTACCTTCTATTGTTATAACTTCTTGTAACCTCTCAAATAATCTCTTTTCTATATTCTCTTTAATATTAATTTCATCCATTTCAACATTATTCAATTGGTCAAATATTGATTTACGTGAGACGACTATAGTATCTCGTGGTATATGATTCCTGTTTGATTATATGCGGTTAACTAATGTAGGAATAAATTAACCAAAAAAAAAAAAAAATCTTTACATTTTTTTTAAAAAAAAAAAACTGCAGAATCGATAAATATTAATAAAATTAAAAGTTGAAGAGCAAATTATTAATAAATATACTATTTATGAAAAAAAAAAAAAAAAAAAAAAAAAAAGTAATCAATCAGTTGACGAATGGTGAATTTTATTACGATAATGGAATTTTATTTTTCGGGGTATATACCCATACTTTATAATAAAGAAAGATCAATTGACTGTTTATCTAATTATATTTTAAGGGATCATTATTGCTGAGTTTTATGATATTTAAACATTTATTGAAAAGGCCCAATTTACAAAAATCTAATTTACCTTTTATAATCCATAACTTGGCTTGAAAAATACGAAGAAAGATTGTTGGATTGTCCAATCGTAACCTAAATTTAATCCACGAGTAACACACACAATGCGATAATATTAAAGATTAAGGCTCGTATTGATCTCTTTCTATATGATACCCATGTGACTAGTTGTAACCATCCACAATCTTTTTCACAATCTTAAAAGGCATCTTAACTTGACAATATATATGCAGAACTTACTAGATATAGTTCCATTTTTTACATATGTGACATTTGCCGACTATATAGTACTTTAGGTGTTACCGCATGAAAAAAAAAATTTTTTTATATAATATTTAGTTGTTACGTAGATGCATCATCAAAGTATCATTTAATAAACAGTTAAAGCTTTTTGCAAAATGCCAACCTCCCCGGAAGAAAACGCCTGTGACTCTCCATATTCTTCGGTATCGGATGACTTTACGATGAACAATATATATTTTTCTTCAAACGAAATATCTCAAGATAACCCTTCAACTTTACTGGATCCAAAATTAGAAGTAGTTGACTCGAATACCCCTTTGTTTTTCATAACTTTAACTCCACAACAAACTCCAACTCGAGAGTTACAATCCCCGGTCACTCAAAACGATCCACAAGTTTCTCATTTTCACCAGACCGTCTTCAACTCTACGCCGATGAGTGACATGCATCAATCAATAAATAACGTATTTGCATTTTATTAGTCTATTTAATGTTAAGCTTTACATCTCATATTATTATTTACTTATATTTTTATTTTTATTTAGTATATGTCGTCCTCGTTTTCGCAAGGAATAACGAATTTTACTCAAAATGGAATGAATTATCTAGATTATATTAATGGGACTGATAATAGCATGTAAGCTGCGTTTTTTTTTTTTCAAATTCCTAATAGAGTCTTATTTTGTACACATACTGAAAAAAAAAAAACATATTCTTTTTTTTTTCTTTCTTTTTTTCAAGAGAGGCAAATATTTCATCAACGCAGGCAGATCGACAATGTCAAGCGCAGGATATCAGTGATAAAGGGTTAGTTTACAAATTCTTTTTATTAAATTCGTCTTTAAATTACTTATTGATTTTTTTTTCACAATTACAGACTTCAAATACGTGTTCTCGGAGTTCCACAGACTGGTGCAAAATCTCGTGTAGAAACACAAATAAAATTATGCTTACAACTCGTAACTGATAAAGGAGAAAAGGTTCCATTATGGTCACATCTAAGATTACCCGAATACATGGTTGCTAAAGAAAAACTTAAGACAAAAAATGCAAGAAATCCACAGGATAGCGCAATGAATATTTCAGAAAAAGGTGTTTTAAATTTAGAGGCTACAGTTGTATGTGCAAGTGAAATGCCAAAAAAAGTTCTTACATGCCTTGGCTGTGTTCAACGTGAGGTAAATAATTATTATATAATCAATTAATAAATAATATTTTTAGACTTTAGGATATTTTTATAATAAGGTTTATATAAAATTTAAAATGATAGAGAAATAGATTTGGAATAGAAGTTTGAGAAGAATTGTTGTAAGCTATGAATATTGAGATGATAGTTTGTATAGAGTAGTTTGTAATATTTAGAGATATGTTAGTTTGAATAATTTGGTGTTGAAGTATAGAGAGTAAGTTTGTTTTATATATATTATATTAGAAGAGATGTAGTGTATTTTCTTTTTAGTTGCAATAGATGCAATTTGGTGTGAGATATAGATGAGGTTGTCTAATATTTAGATTGTCCATTATTAGAAGATTATTTAAGAGAGTTTTGAGACGAAAAGAGTAAAGATTAGTATTAGATGAAAGTAAGTTGAGGATAGAGAAGTTTAGTTTGAAATTGATTAGTGGTAAGTTTCAATATGTTTTCAGTTGATTTATATTATTGAGAGTTTGAATAAAGTAGAGTAATTTGTTAAATTGACATAGTTTAAGAGGGATAAGATTGTTGTTCCAAGAAAAGAAATGAGGTAGTGTAAAATATTGAAGGTTAATTTTAAGTAGTAATTTGTTTGTTACTTTTTTTGCAAGTTTGTCTGCTATGTTATGAAAAGTATTTTTGAAGTAGGATTTAATTTTGTGAAAAGTATAGGAGATGTTTTTAGAATTAATTAGAGAGTTTATGATGTGAATTATGTCCCAGTTGAGTTGTTTGCTTTGAGTATTGTTATTATATGGAAGATTTTTAAATATTTGTAGTGCTGATAAGTTGTCAATATGTATGTGAATATAGGAAGATATTGGGAGTATAAGTAGAATTGTAATTATTGCTTCTATTTCTGCTCTAGTTGAGTTAGAAGTATATGTTAAAGCAGCATTGAATTTTATTTAGCTATTGTCAGAGAAGATCCAACCAAAACCTGATTTAATAGAAGGTATTTGTGAGTGATAAATAGATGCATCAGTATAGAAGTGTAAGTTATTAAGAAGAAGGTTGAGGAGAAGATTATGAAGTTTTATGAGTTGTTCCTAATATGTAAATGAGTTGATTGTATTTTTAATTAAGGATATTTCAGTATTTGAGAATTGTATAGTAGAAGGTGGCAAGAGTTAGTGTTGGGTATAAAGTTGTATAGAGATTTAGATAAGATCATTAATTTCTAGATTGCCAATTGATAGTTTAAAATTTGATTTTCTTTTTGACTTTTGCATTTGATATTTAGGGTATAATTTGGTGATATTTTTAGAAAGAATTGAGAAGGAGAGATGATGGTAGTTCCATCTGTTTGAGAAATAATAGTATATTTTTGGAAAGTTATATAGTCAGTATAGTAAACTATAGTTTTTCTGATGAAGTATATTTGATTAGTTAAGTAAATAGTCCAATTTGTTTTGAGAGAAGTTGTAGGAATTGTGATTAGGTTGAGTATATTTATAAAAGGATTTAGAGAAGGATTAAATTGATAGTAGTTAGTAAGAGTATTAGAGATATCTTTGTACTATGAAGGTATACAACCTTTAGATGTTTTATTAGTGTGAAGATAAATATTATTCCAGGGTAGTAAGCTTGAGTTATTTGCTATAAAGAGTTGTTCTATGAAGAGAATTTTGTTATTTTTGAGACTAAGAGTTGTTGTTGTTTTTAGAGGATAAAGAAGGAAGTTGTGTATTAGATTTAGTTGGTTGTAATTTGTAGTTATTTTTGTAGAGTTTAAATTGAAGTTGTTAATTTCACAACATAGCAGACAAACTTGCAAAAAAAGGAACAAACAAACTACTACTTAAAATTAACTTTCAATATTTTACTCTACCTTCCTTCTTTCCTGGAACAACAATCATATCTCTCTTAAATTACATCAATTTAACAAATCACTTTACTTTATTCAAACTCTCAATAATATAAATTAACTGAAAACATATCGAAACTTACCACTAATCAATTTTAAACTAAACTTTTCTATCCTCAACTCACTTTCATCTAATACTAATCTTTACTTTTTTTATCTTAAAACTCTCTTAAATAATTTCTAACAATGGACAACCTAAATATTAGACAACCTCATCTATACCTCATACCAAATTGTATTTGTTACAACCAAAAAGAAAATACACTTCATCTTCTCTAATATAATGCATACAAAACAAACTTACTCTTCATACTTCAACACCAAATTATCCAAACTAACATTTCTCTAAATATTACAAACCACTCTGTTAAACTATCATCTCAATATTCATGGCTTATAACAATTTCTCTCAAACTTCTATTTCAAATCTACTTCTCTATATAATCTAAGGAACTATTCTATAACAACTTTTTACACAAATTCAATACAAACTTAACAAATTAACTACAAACTTCTTTACTAAACTTGCAAACAATACCTTAAACTAGTTTTACTCAGATATTTGGCAACCAAGAAACCAATACCAGCATACATAGGAAGCTTCTCGGAATATCACAAAACTAACTAAAAAAAACAAAACCTACAACTTGCCAACCTCTACTCCTAAAAAAACTTCTACACAAACTCAATGCCAAACTAACATAAATATCTATATTACAAGATAGTTTTTACAAAACTACTTACTTTATTCATGCATCTCATGACCTTTTTTATTCTTATTTTTATCAAAAAGATTTTTTCCAATCTCTCTATTTCTAATAGTAATAATAGCAATTATTTAAATTAGATATATATAGAAAATAGAAAATATAGTGTCATATCTGATGACTTATAGAGAAACATGGATACAAATAGAAAAACTTTAGTTATAAATAGTATCATCTTGATATTTAAATTGTACTAAAATTATTTTTTCTATACTGACATTATAATAAAAAAAAAAAAAAAAAAAAAAAAAAAAATGTATCTCTTGTATATTTTATGCATCTCTTGCATATTTATATATATTTATATATAAATATACATAAATATGCAAAAGATGTATAAAATATGCAAGAGATACATAAAATATACAATATTTATAATTGATTACTTTAAAACTTATAATTGTTAAAATATTTGATCTAAGTAATTAGTTTTAAAGAGTTTCTAAAAATCTGAGTCTGAAGTGGAAGCTATAATTATATAATAAGTGATAGTTCTTTTTGGTGATAGTTGTGTTGGGATTAGATTCATAGTATTGATAAAAAAGTTTGTTGTGAGTAGATTTAGTTGTAGCCAAATATCTAATATTATATTTAATTGTATGTTATTGGAGATTTGTTTAAGAATAGGGAGTACTATTTTAAAATTATATATAAACTTGATAGTAAATTTTTTTTATATTTGATTTTATAAAAAATTATATTAAGTAAACTAATTTTAGTATATAAGAGAAGTTTGTAGAGTAGGTTTTTTTAATTCTAATGATAGTAATATTATTAAAATTAGTTAGTAACTCATTAAAATATAAATTTTTAAAAATCAAGTATAAAAATTTATTAATATCTATTAATTAAACTAATATATAGATTTATGTAAATCAACTAATTAAAATTAGAGGCTTGTATTACTTCAGAAAATTTTGAGTTGATCCAAAAAAATTTTGTAATATATATAAGTATATTTTTTTAAAATATAATAATAGTTTAAAATTTTACTATAATAGATAAATTAATTTATTTATATTTTATAAAAATTTTATTAAGAATTAGTTATAATTTAAAAAAGTTTTATTAGTAGTATATATCAATTTTATATGAAAATTTCAAAAAACCATATAAAACTATATAAAAATAATCTACATATCTTCTACCCTTAAACTAGTTTAGAGTAGCTTCTTTAGTTAGTTTGTTTATATAGAGATAAATATTATTCTATGGAAGAAGATAGTTATTATTAGCAGTTGTAATTTGTTCAATAAAGAAAATTTTGTTGTTTTTAAGACTACTAATAGTTAGACTATATAGGTTTAGAGAAAGTATTTTATATATTAGATATGAGTTTTCTGAAATTGTTGATAGAAAAGTAGAAATTTGAGGTAAGTTAGAGAGTGTTATATTATTAAAGGCTAGTTATGAGAGATAGAATATAATAGTATAATTTTGTGTTTTTTAATAGTTTGTAAGTAACAAGTTTTAGGTTAGTTTTGAAGACCAGATTTTTATTAACTATGATTTGATATATAAGATTCTGATATTTTTAAGAAGAGAGTTTGAAGTAAAAATTCATTCAGTATTAGAAGTACAAACTTTTTGAATAATATTATTTAGTGTTAGAAGATTAGATAAAAGAAAATAAGTTAAAATAATATTATTAGTATTTTTTGCTAGTGAAAGTAATTTTTTTGTTTGAATAGTAAAAAAACAAGGTTTGGTAATCTTAGTGTAGTGGTTAGATTACTAGACCACCATACAGAAAGTCTGGAGTTCAAATCCTACTATCAATAAATTTAAATAATTATTCAGATCTTTGTACCTAACTTATAGTAAACTCTGTCTATTTCTGGAGTTGTAACTCTGTAAATTATATTACACCAATATCATCTGAATATTAGAAGTATGATCAGGCATTTGGTAAGATGTAATATTACATGAATAAATCTTAATAGAATCTATAGGAAGGGGATCTGCATAGTAAAAATCCCAAGTTGGTGAAGTAGTATAGTCTTCAATAGTTAGACTAGCTAACACTTGATCTAGAAAGGAAACTATTGTTAAAAGATACAGATCAAGTCAGGTATGCATAAATCTGTTTTACAGAGAGGATCAGTAATACTAACTTGGCTTAGTGGCTAACTGAATTAGGAGGATCTGCCTCATGAAATATCTGAAAAGATAGAATACAGAAAACTAGTAGAAAGCTATAGTAGGAACTAGAGTTATACAAATATCTACAAAGGTCTAAAGTAGGTAAATTTGTAAAATAAATATAGACTACTCTAGTAGGTATGCTTCAAGGTTAACTGGCTTTGCAATATCTACAATATATTAGATACAATATATCTCAAAAGGATCTAAGCTATTCTGAATAAATAGATCTATAATGAGCTAGCTAGCTTAAGTGGTTAGATATTATGGTAATATTAGATTAGATCTATA